GAGTGCTCCGAGCTGGAGGGAAACAGTGGTGAGTAGGGATGGGCAGGGAATAGACCTCGGGCACTAGAAGGAGACCCCAGATTAGTCCAGGCGGCACGCACAGTATCCACCTGCAGGCGGAAGGACCGGAGGGGGGTATGGGGGGGCATGGAACTAAGTGAGTGCACGCAGAGACCTCACTTCCTGCAGCCCCACGGCCTGCGTGGGGGACCTGCTTCCAGCTGGAGGGTGCAGAGGGGCGCGCTCCCACCTATCCCCAAGGCTGAGGCTGGGGTGGGGGAGGGGGCTCCCTGCAGAGCCCGTGTCCTCTGCCTGGAAGAGCCAACTCAGCTGTTACCTGCAATGCCCCTGGGGGATGGGAGCCGTGAGGGCTTGTGGGGGAGGCGGGGGAGGCAGGCAAGGGCAAGGGCACTAGGGGAGCCAGAGGGGAGGAGGCTAGCAGCCAGGCCCTAGGTACTCAGGAGGGACTCCTCTCAAAATAGCTCTGGAAACCTCCCCAGTGCTTCCTCCCCTCCTCCCTGCTGGGGGCTTGGCTGTCTTTCTGGGAACTGCCAGGGCATGGACCCTCCCCCTCCCCGGGAGAAGGTGGGACTGTCCCCAGGGCGAGTGCCTTCCCATCCCCCGGGGCCAGGCGCTGAGCTCGGCCCCATTCCTACTGGTCCCACCGCCCACCACACGCACCCTCTCACCCGCTCTCCCCTCGTTCCAACCCAGCTCCTTGGTGGGCAGGAGCCGGGCCACCTGGTCTGGGACAGGGCTGCTGGACTAATTGCTGCGAAGAATGGACATGACCCCCGACCCCAAGAAAACCTCCTTCCCCTTGAATCTAGGCCCTCTCTCCTCCAGCCTGAGCCCCACAGCTCCTGGGCATGGACCCCTCCACCTCCTTGAAAACATGCCTCTCAGGCTATTTCTGAGCCAGTTCCCCTGAGACCTGGGCTGCACTGTCCCATCACCAAGAATCAAGCTGGTCCGGGTGCAGCTGGGGGCTGTGTCCAAGACACCATTCCCACCCACAAGGGACTTCAGTAGAAGGAGGGAAAGGGGGCAAGGCGCCCCAACGTTTCTTCCCACCCTGACTCTGGGAGGGCTCCCCAAAGAGAGTTTTCTAAAGGCAGGAGAGAAAGAACGCCGACCTCTTGTTGCCCCCTCCCTTGGCACCCCCCCGGCACCCCCTCCCCTGGCACCTTCAGAAGGATCCTCCAAGCTTGCCCAATGGACAGGTGTTTTGAGAAATTTTGAGGAAAGTGTTCTATAAATGTAAAAATTCTCTAACTGCTAGCTAAGACTTGGAAACAGCCTAAGTGCCCATCAGCAGATGAGTGAATAGAAAATTGTGGTACATCTACACCATGGAATACTATGCAGCTGTAAAAAAGAAGGATCTCTTACCATTTGCACCAGCATGGAGGGACCTGGAGAGCATTATGCTGAGTGAAATAAGCCAGTCAGAGAAAGACAAGTATCCCATGATCTCACTCACATGTGGAATCTAATGAACCCAATAGACTGATGACCAAGAATAGACCCAGAGCCATAGACGCATGAACAGACTGTTGAACCTCAGAGGGAAGGCAGGGGAGGGTGGGAAGAGATCAACCAATGAACCTGTGTGCATAGATGATCGCCCGTGGACACAGACAATGGGCTGGGGAGGGTGGAGGGGGCGGTGCAGGGGTTGGGAAGGGCTGGAAGAGGCTAATGGGGGGAAAGGAGGACCTGTGTAATGCTTTCAACAGTAAAGATTTAAAAACACACACAAATAAATAAAAATTCTCCAGCTGCTAATGCATTTCCCAAGCGTCTCCCCCACCGTGGTGGCCCCTGATGGAGCTGGAGGCTGGGGAGCGAAGCAGACAGCAGGGGCGGTCTAGGCTGTAAGAGCCGCCACCCTGTGTCCTGACCACGCTGGGCCTGTTTCTTCATCTGTGAGGCGTGTGGGTTTCCCAAGAAGTGGTGCTGAGAACTGGTGAACGGTGAGGCAGCAGGGGCGGTGGGGGCAGACGGAACGGGCACCTTCTCCTGTCCCAGGATCTAAAGGTATCCAGGGAGGCCTGGCCAGCTGCTCAGTGGTTAGATGCCGGCCCGCTGTCCGAAGGGTCTCATTTTCGATTCCTAGTCAAGGGCACATACCTGGGCTGTAGGGCAGACAGGGGCGCGTGCAGGAGGCAAACAGTTGCTATGAGAAATACAATGGAAAAATGTCTCCTGGTGAGGGTGAACAAGGAGACAAACACACAAACAAAATAAAGGCATCAGGGAGCCCCCCCCCCCGCCCCCCGCCGCCCCGGGGCAGGGTCACTGTCCTTCCCTTTGGCTCTGCGTCTGTCTCACCTTCTGCTCTGAGAAACATGACCCTGCTGTAAAAATAAAGTGGCAGCGCGGTGCCCGGCCTGCGGATCCCATGTCCGAGGCTGCCCGGGAGGGAGAGGGTGAGTGCACAACCTGGGGAGGGAGAGGCTGAGCCTGTGGGGCCACAGACGCTGAGAGTCTAAGAGCTGCAATGGACTGTAGACCCACCCTGTGCCCAGCAGCCGCCAGCACCTTTCACGCAGTCACAGCTCAGCCAGGCTCCAGAGCCAGGGCCACTGTGATGTGTGCGTGACCTGGCAAGTGTACAAAAGGAAATGACATAGATGTCTAAATATAAGTTAAAGATTAAATATCAAAGTGTTCAAATTTAGCCCTAGCCAGTTTGCTCAGTGGATAGAGCATTGGCCCGTGGACTAAAGGGTCCTGGGTTTGATTATGGTCAAGGGCAGTACCTTGGTTGCAGGCTCGATCCTTGGCCCTGGTTGGGGTGCGTGCAGGAGGCAACCAATCGATAATCTCTCTGTCCCTCCCCCTTGCTTCCACTCTCTGTAAAAATCAATGGAAAAGTATCCTCGGGTGAGATTAACAACAACAAAAAAAGTGTTAGCATTCACCTATTATCCCCCCCCCCCCTTATGTTTCTCGGCCTTAATTTTAAGACCAGGTCCAAAATCCATGATGGCCCACGCTCCTCCAGGCCCGAGGGAAAGGCTCTGGGGCATCCTGGGAACGCTGCCCCTCATGCCGTCCCATCAGCCCCCAGTGCCTGCAGACGCTGCCCTCGCCTGTGGGTGCACACCTGCGGGTCAGCCCTGAGAGGATGCTGCATGGTCTAGAAGGAGGTGCATGGCCACCCCCCCCACATCCCATGAACCCCTTCCCAGTGAAAAGAGTATGGCCCCCTAAACTCAGGGGCCCTGGGTGGAGGCCCCTGTCGCCCAGCTCTAAGGGTGCCATTGCTCTTAACAATCCAGGAGGTAAATATCTTTCTTTTCACCATTTACAGACGAGGTTTCTGCAGAAGTTGCATAACTTGCTCAAGGTCACAGCTCAATGCCAGAGCTGGGATTTGAGTCCCCAGTGCCTGGCTCCAGAGCCACTATATGGGGGGCAACCACACCAGAGACAGCGCGTCTCAAAAATAAATACACACTCAGGCCGGCCGGTGTGGCTCAGTGGTTGAGCATCCACCTATGAACCAGGAGATCACAGTTGGATTCCTGGTCAGGGCACATGCCTGGGGTTGCTGGCTGGATCCCCAGTGTGGGGCGTGCAGGAGGCAGCCGATCCATGATTCTCTCTCATCACTGATGTTTCTGTCTCCCTCTCCCTCTCCCTTCCTCTCTGAAATCAATAAAAATATTAAAAACCAAAAACCAAGCACACACACACAAATACACACCCAGCATTTCCCATACAGCCTCAGGGGCCTCCCTGAAGCCACCGGGAGGAGGTAAGAAGGTGGTGGTGTGGAGCCGCCGGCGCTGGGCTGTAGCGGGGATCAGACCGTGAAGTGGGAGCTGGTCCCCAAGTCTGAACAGTTTCCAGACGTGAGAAGAAGGGAGAGTGGGAGGCAGCCAGGCTCTGCCTGGAGGGAGGAGGCTTAGGTGGTTGTGCGGGAGGCTCTCAGACATTAGCTACAAACCTCCCCCAGAGCCTCCTCCCTCTGAACTCACACCCCCTGGAGAAAGGCCTGCTGGTGGGCAGTCTCACCCCCGCCCTCTGACCTGGCACACCCCCAAACCCGGAGTCCAAAGCAGAGGCCAGAACCTTCCTGGTTCTGAAGGAGGGGGAGGCCTTGGAGGGGTGAGAGGGCGGAGCCTGAGGGAGGCCTCCTTAGAGGGTAAACGAGGTAGGGGTGCCCGGGGCAGGGGGAGGGGGGAGAGGGTGGTGGTGGAACCGGGCGGGGATCAGGACGTCGGCCGGAGTCCCTGACCAGGAGCCCCACATTTCAGCGGACTCTGTGAAGACATGGGGGTGCAGGGCGGGGGACAGTCAGTGCGCAATGGAAGCTCCGC